GGCAAGGCAGACTTCTCAGGAATCTCACCTGGCAACCAGCTGGTGCTCTCTGAAGCGATTCACAAATCCTTTGTGGAAGTCAACGAAGAAGGCACTGAAGCAGCTGCTGCCACAGCTGCAGTGTGGGTGAACTGCTGTGCTATGAGAGTTCCGGAATTCACTGCTGATCATCCTTTCCTCTTCTTCATCCGGCACAACAAAACTTCCAGCATTTTGTTCTGTGGCAGATTTTGCAGTCCCTAAGGAGGAGATGTCTTGGCTGCATAGGTGCCATCACGCAATAAATTTGTATTTCTCTAGAACAAGGTGATTCCTTTTTTTTTCTGGCCAGCACAGCAACACTTCCTCTTGATTTTTTGCATAGGTTGATGTCAAGGCTTGGTGGACATTATCTGAAAGGTACTAGATGGGCCTATCCTTTATTCAGTACACAGTAACACCTGTCTCAGGTGAAACAAACAAAAGCATTATATGCAGGGGAGAGGGATGAGACCCAACATTTTTATCACAGGTGCACATGCCATACACTGCAGTTAAAGGGCTGTGCACCTGAAATCAATATGGGCAGTATAGTTGGGGATGTCCCAAGGACTGATGGAGAACGAAGATTGTGATAAACCACAGAAAACTCCACTTGAAGTTAGTTTTTTTGAAATGAAAAAGAGAGAGATAAAAAGCGAAATAACTTCATAAAAGATCAGTGCAAATAGAGAAACAGGGTGGGAAGGCAGAGAGGAGCCTTGCTGGGCAGCAGGGATGTGCTTGCCCCATGGGTCTAAAACACCTGGATCTCTTACGGCTGGGGCAGGGTGAGGGTTTTTGGTTAATTTGGTTAATCTCTTCTCTCCGCCGGAAAATCAGGGACACCCGGACGGGAGCGGCCGCGGGGTGACACCTGCCGCCCCGCCCCCGTCGTCTCTCCCCGCCCCGGCGGGGTCCCCGCGGGTGACACCGCGCTGTCACTGCGCCGCTCGGCTCCTTCCGCTCCATCCATCCCATCCCACCGCATCCCAGCCCGCTCCGCGCTGCCCGGCAGGTAGGCGACCAAGCGGCCCTTGGCTCCGCGGGGCTGCCTCCGACCCTGCCCCCGGCGCATCCCACGGGAAAGGGACGGGAACGGGACGAGAAGGGGAAGTTTTTCCTCTCCGCCTCAGCCGGCGGGGTCTGCGCGGGGCGGGGGGCGCTTCTCGGGCCCCGGGGGTGGGCGCTGTCCGGCACTGGTTTGGGTGAAAGGCTTGCGCAGTGAGGGGAGCTAAACGAAAGTGAAAGTACGCCTTGGGGCTTGGGTTTGGCTGCTTTTAGCGGTGTCGGTGGTCTTAGCCTGCAGCTCGGTAAGTACATCGCAAATCTGCCGCGTGTTTGTCTGTCTGGCACGGAGGAAGCCCATAATGATGATTTGCAATTGCTGTAGAAAGGCTGTGCAGGAAACAGCCAAATTTTGGCGTGAACTCCTCCACGCACTTAAGTCCGGAGGAGAGAAAGAAACAACCCGAGACTCCGGCTGCAAGCAAGCACAGAGCAGCCGGACTCTGAGCTGGCGCAGCATCCAGCGGTGCCGCCGCTGGCCCTTGGGTGGGGTTTTGAGCCTGAGTCGACCCTTGCGCCTTTCACCCTGCTCCTGAGCATCTCCCCAAAAGGCATCGCTTGCCTTGTGTCCCCGCCGGTCACCTGCAGCCCTCAGAACGCCGGGGTTCCTGCCCGAGCCTTTCGGGCCGCCCAGCCCCGCTGGTGCTGGATGCGGCGGGCAGGCAGCTCCGTGCTGCTGGCAGCGCGGGCGGGCAGCAGCGCTGCTCTCCGCTGCTGAAAGACAGCGTGCACGGAAGCCTTTGGCAGTCCTGACACCGCTCAGGGACATGGATTTGTGGCATGAAGGCAGGCGGTGTCTGAATGGCCCTGAGCAGATGCTATGAATGTCCTCTGTGCATTGTAGAGGAGCAGAGGGAATGCTGGAGCCCTGGCTTGTGCTGGGTCTGTGAGGCTGAGGGACTTCCACAACTCTACCAGCACACATACTTCCAGTTCCAGATCTGCATGAAAGGAATTTTTTAAAAATAACATCTATAAGGTTAGTATAATAAGGAAGGCTGGAACAAACCATTAGCATGGAAAAAAATCCCCTGGTTTTTCAATTTGACTGATTTTTTTTTTTAAGAAGGTGCACTGACGTTGATATTCTTGCTGTTTCTGTAAGCAGCTGCATGCAGTTCAATCCAGTCTTTACTCTGTGAGTCACACAAGGTTAGACAAGGTGTTTGAAGAATGTTTCCCAGGGTCCTTATCAACTGTTTTATTTTTCAGCTATAACCATGGAGAAGCTGTCTAATGCCAACAGCAGATTTGCAGTTGATCTGTTCAGAAGGTTGAGTGAGGCCAACCCAACAGGAAATGTCTTCTTTTCTCCTGTCAGTATCTCTGCTGCTCTGGCCATGGTCCTTTTGGGGGCCAAAGGTAATACAGAAGCCCAGGTGTTGAAGGTTAGTAAAATAAAATGGTCATTAATTTTATATTTTATTTACATTAAAAAGGGTTGTGTTTTAGAGGAGGGGACATGAAATGAGGGGTTTTTTTTTTGTTCAGGACAAGATTTCTGTCATGCACACTCAGTTTTCCTCAGATTCTGCAGCTAGTTACCCTCTGCCTACCCTGCTCCAGAGCCCTCTGTCTGTATTTTCTATGGCCCTTGTTGTTCATTTAATGTCAGTAGTTAATTCTTGACAGAGGAAACTAATTACATAAGTCAGTCTCCTTTTAAATTGATCATAACTTCAAGCAGCAAGGCTCTATAAGTTTTCATGAGACATTTTGACAAACTGTTACTTTATAACACAAGATCACCAACAGTACGTTCATTTTCATTAATTGTGTGTGCTTTTGTAAGAAAACACAGTAGCACTCTATAGTTTTATATCTAAGGCTATGATGATACAGGGTGATGCTACCTAAGTACCAGTCTCTCACTAACAGGCACTTGGATATCTCGAAGAAGCTAAGTCTGCATGGTTATCCTTACCATAGCTTTAGGGTAGGTATGATAGTTTAAAAAAAACCTCCTTATAAATTGCAAAAATGGTGCACATAGGAGTGTGCCAGTTTCCCCTGAAACCTCTGTCACAGAAGGGACTCAGTCACTGTTATTTTTGCACCCTCATTAGGCAAACGCCTGTAAAAAAGTGTGGGAGTCTCCTCATTGCAGTCATCCTCATGCATTTGCCTATGAATAATTTCACCTTTGTATTCTGGACTTTAGGAGGAACTGTTTTATACTGTTGAGTATTGCTGGGCTTACTCAATAAAATTACTTCCCCACTACTTGTTCAAACAGACTTTGAACATATTTCATGTAATCAGACTGACAGCCCCACCTAGGATAAACCTACTGACAGCACAAATCATGCAAAAGGAACTTGGGGGGGAAAATAAATGTCTTTCAACAGTCATCCTCAACAGGGCATGTTTCTATACCATAATACTTCACTTATGAACACAGTGCTAATTAAAGAGGGAGCGATTAACAATGTCAAGAGCTGTTTGCAGGGACACAAAAATTTGTTTCCGGGATCATAATTCTATTGTAAGGTTGCCTCTGTGGTGTTCTTGCTCAACCACGCACCTGTACAGCACAGCTTGTACTGAGTTGGTTGGCAAAGCCTGACCAAAAACCCAGTGAGAGAAAGAGAAGGCTTTCCTTTGAATCCAATCACTCCTTCACAGCAGTCTTCACTACTGGGAAACACATGGTTTAAATTTGAATATGAATGTCCCTGCTTTGGTGTAGCCATCCCTGTCCATGAGGTCTGGCAGCTTCTGCTGTCATATCTTTAAGCCCTGGCCAGCCAGCTTACCTTGGGAAGAGGAGGTACTGGTAAAGAGGTATTGCAGTAATGCACTTGATCTTAAACCTAATACTTACTATATATATATATATAGTGTATATATTTCTATATAAAAAGTATATATGAAGTGCATATATATTTAAGGAGTTACGTTTTCATAAAATTATAAAGGATAATCGCTCAAAGTTTTCTTAATACCTCACTTGTGATAGTGATGATTGTATATTGTGAAAATATACAACCCCACATCCGCTTGGGCCAAAGTGGGAACCAAGAAAGCAAAAGGGTCTCCATGGCATCATCTCTCTTTTTGATTCCACACCTGGGAACGAGTTCTTGGGCCCACAGAGGAGAGGCCCACAGAAATGCAGACAGGACTTAGGGCTGTGAGCTTCAGCTGTGACTGTGCATAAACCAGGATCACAATACAAGTGGCTGACATGGGCAGCGTAGCACCGAGGGACAGTTTGACTCATTCTTTGAGGTTTACAGAAGTCTCTAAGCAGCTTTTCCAGCCTTTTCTTTTCTCTTTCTTCAGCCTACCTACTGGATCCTACCCTGCTGCATCAGGCCTACCCTACAGATGCACAGTATGTTCTTTTAGGACAGTATTAACAGCAGCTAGTTCACTTCTTTTTATTTCAGACGCTTCATCTTGACAAAGTTGAAGATGTTCATTCGAGATTCCAGGCTCTGACAGCGGATATAAACAGAAGCAATGCTCCCTATCTCTTACGGCTGGCCAGTCGGCTCTTTGGAGAGAAGTCCTACAGCTTTCTGCAGGTACAGTGGTGCACATCAGCATGGCATGTGGTGGGATCTAGGGGGAAAGTGCAGCTACTTGAGTGTTTGTGAAGTAGAACTATTTCCAAGCCTATTTCTAAACTTTTCTGGGAAGTTGACAAAAGTGCTTCATACTTGCCGTGTGAATTTCCATAGCTGTGAGCATCTGTGCCTCTCACCTGAAGGGTGTAACACAGCAAATCCTTTTCTGCTCATGTTCACTTCTGCTGTTCTTGTCCTCAAGAGAAGAATCACTGGTTGGTGTTCTTAGTTTACAGTAACTATCATGACGTCCCACTCCGTTGCAACCAGCTGTTTAGGTTGCAGCCAGTTCTGTTCCTGTTGCAATCAGCTTTTTAGGATTTTCATTGGAATAGTACCACATTACCTCAATCTTTTTGAAAACACAATTTATTTGGGAGGGGATATCCAATATGCATTAACAACATGCCTCTTCGCCAGTGAATTACAACTTTGTGTGACATTTTTGTCCCTCTTCAGCTATTTTGGAAAGTTTTGTTTTATCCCAGCCTGTTTCAGGAGAGTGATAGGTAAATATTGCAACACCTGCAGTAAGCACCCCATCAGCTCTAAACATGGCTGATGTACTATGAGGCTTGCTCTAAGAGTGGGGAAAAAACCTCTAACTTCAGAATTCCCCCAAGTAATACACTGTTAGAACCCCACCTCAGAGTTGGTGACAATCTGAGTGCACCTTATCTACCTGATAATTAGATGTTTTCTTACTTGCATGCAGTGAAAGCTGTTCTTATCGTTCCAAAATCTAGGAATTCCTGACTAATACACGGAAATTATATGGAGCTGACTTGGCTACAGTTGATTTTCTTCAGGCTTGTGACAAAGCCAGGAAAGAAATTAACCAGTGGGTTGAGGAGAAAACTGAAGGTAAATTACTTTTTTGTTAATAACTGGTAGGGTTTCATATCTTGGGAGAAGGAATGGGCCTTATTCTCTGCTGTCTTTCGAACAGTTTAATTCTGCCCTGGGATACTCATTTGATGCATGGACAGAACCAGCAATGACCTAAGCAAGACATTTAAACATTTCTATAAGTCCTGAGAGTTTTCCATTCTGTTTTGTGCTCAGGCCATGAGTGCAGGAGAAATGGCTAAACATGAGAAATGGCTAAACTCATGAGATGGACAATTTGGCTTAGTCTGTCTTGATCCATATATATATTGTATATATATTTCTAAATTCAGTATTCCTTAATGTGTGCATTCTGTAGTTCTTGTATGAGGAGTAGATGAGTTGCATGTGACAGTTTAGACTGACAATGTTACGTTTTCATGAAATCACTATATATCAAAAGTTATAGAAGTGTATATTAAGAAAAAGTATGGTGAAGTAGCGAGACAGGTACTGAAATACACAGTATTACAGGAATAGATTGGTTTTATATTTGTACTATTTTTATGGCATCAGTTTCTCAATGTATATTTTATATGCCATCAACTTAGTACATGATTTTGTTGTGACCCTTTTTTCTGCTGCTTCTGAAGGCAAAATCCCCGATCTACTGGCTGAAGGCTCAGTTGATAGCATGACCAAGCTGGTACTGGTGAATGCTATTTATTTCAAAGCGAACTGGGCAGAGAAATTTCAAGAAGCTGACACCACTGATGCACCATTTCGGTTAAATAAGGTAATACAGATACGTCCTGGTGGGACAGATCTAATGAAAAGGTGTGATAATATAGGTGGTAATGTGAAGCGTTGCTTACAGATAAAATATGTAAGAAATACAAAGTAATTGATGAATATTTAAATTATTTTGTATGGATTTTAGTATTTTTCCATATTCAGCAAACTATTTGTTGTCTTACTTACCAGAATAGAGACAATTCTCACCTATGGTTTAGGACCTAGCAGGGTTTCTGTGTGTAGCAGATCAGCAGCTATGAACTGTGTCTGTTTGTGATGCTAGGTAAGCAGTCATGAACTAACAGGATGTTTTGATTAAGCCCCATCTTCTTGTTCTATATTCTGCTTATGTTAACAGCTTTACAAATTACTGCATGCAGTCATCTGCTTTATGCTAAACAGAATTGATCTTTGTCGGCTTGACATTTTCATACAACAGTTTGAAGAAACTGTTTCAGTTTCTGCGAGGACTATGCCATAGAAGCCAAAGGAGAACCAAATATAATACAAACTCATTATTTCTATAGAAGAAATCATTATTAAACAGGCAGTCAGAAGTTTGAAAGTTTTATAATGGAGGATAAGTGTTTACATAAATGCAGTTTTAACTTACTTGTCTTCTGTTGGTTCTTTAAATGAGTATTTCCTTAACTCTTACTTTTGGTGCCTTTTATCCATCCAGAATGAAAGAAGGACAGTAAAAATGATGTATCAGAAAAATAAATTTAATTTTGGCTACATCCCTGAAGAGAAGATTCGTGTTTTAGAGCTGCCTTACAATGGAAGAGAACTTAGTATGATCATCCTGTTACCTGATGACACTGAAGAGGATTCCACTGGACTGCAGAAGGTGACCCATCTAAGCCAATGCAGTTGTTCAATGTTTTTAAGTTTGGCCATTCAAAATTAAAGCCTTAGTGAACCCATGTTCTCAGGGCACCAGATCTATCTGGTGTATTTTTAGACAATTCTCTACTAGTAGCAGGAAAAGAATAAATGGATGTACTGCATCAGGAAGAGAAGTTGTGTTCTAATTTTGTAGCTTGTGTTCATGTGTCCTCTGCTGAACTGAATGAACCATGATGAAGACTGAAAACAGAGTTAACTGTGAGAATTACCTTGCCTCGTCTGTTTGTTTTTAATGACAGAATTATTCTTTCAGTAGCTTTGAAAGTCTTTCTTTTCTTAACCATAAAGTAGTGAGACTGTTTTGCATTAAATGACCAGCTTCTTTGAGCTCTCTGATTATGATTTTTGTTACTTGTTTTTAGTTAGGTAATTCTATTTAGTTAGATGAAACAGTAAGAAGACTGGCTTGCTATCAGTGCATGATTTTCCCTTCTGTATGCTGCAGCAAGGAGCAAATGTCTACATTACTTTGTAAAGTAAAAACTGCACTGACTCGACCTAATTTAAATAGTATTTTTTAAATCTCTATTTAGCTATCAAAGATATAGGTATCTTCATTTTTGCATTATAGGAAGGTAAGCTGCTTTACCTTCCTATAATGTTCTATAAATAAAGCCTCATAAATGTTACTGAAAATGCAGTACTACACTGGTGATAAGTAATGCTCTCTGTCCTTTTAATTCTAGATGGAAAAGCAGCTTACCTTAGAGAAGATCCAGGAATGGACACGTCCGGAGCATCTGTATTCCGCTGACGTTCACGTGCGTTTGCCAAAGTTTAAGCTGGAGGAAAGCTATGACCTTAAATCAGATTTAGCTGCTATGGGCTTGCTGGATGTATTTGACAGTGGCAAGGCTGACCTGTCGGGAATGTCAGGGGCACGTGACCTCTTCCTCTCTGCAGTTGTTCACAAGGCTTTTGTGGAAGTGAATGAGGAAGGCACGGAAGCTGCAGCTGCCACTGCTGGCATTGCTATGCTCTGCATGGCCATAGAAGAGGATTTCAATGCTGACCATCCTTTCCTTTTCTTTATTCGCCACAACCCAACACAAAGCATACTTTTCTTGGGCAGATATGCTTCCCCATAAAAAAAAACTTAGCATTTGCAGCAGTTCCTGCTGTTGTTAATGAAAGCTTTGTTCCTGAACGAGTTAATCCTCCTGTTGTGAGTTGCTAGAAATTTGACTGAGATTCTGCCTTTCCATTAAAATAGCTTCAGAGACAACGAGAAGTAATTTATTTTTCTTTTTTGAGATTGACATAATCTTTAATTGAACAAGGAAAATCTTGGAGTAGAAATAAATTTTCTTGGAAGAAATGCATGTCTCTTGAAGCACAGTATCAGCCTTTATGCATCCTCACATGGGTTTTTCTGTGTTGACAGCTCCCCATTGTGATAAACAGTTACTCCTTAATAATCCAGTCACTCCTTCTGCATAAATACTAGGTTGTTCTTGCAAAGCTATCCCTTCCCTAAAATCTTGCTTTAGAAAAATACTGTAATAAAATCATTCTAGGCACCAAAAGGCATGTCTCAAACAGCTGGGTATACACAGTTCTGTCATGAAATAGAAGGTCAGATAACATTTGTTTAGAGATGTCTATTAATAGTGAAAGGATTAAGCTATTTAAACAAAAGTAACCCCTTGAAGGTAGTAGCCAGGAAAAATTGCAACACAGCTTTTGTATGAGAAAGAAAAAATGAGAAAGACTTTAGGTGATGTGTTTAAAGAGAATTTTTAAAATTTACATTAAGTGTTAAAAGAAAATGTTTCAGGGATTAGAGGTTTTAGGTGCCTTTTTGAAAGTTCAGAAGCTACCAATATGACATTTGATTTTGGCCAGTAGCTCTGTAATTCCCAAAAGATACTTCAGCTTCCCAGAAGAGGATCTGCAGGAAATATCTGATATTCCTCTTTATGTACAAGGATTCTATATTTACTGAGCTGACTTCCACTACCTCTTTATGCAGAAACCTCTGGTACTGTACCACAGCCTTATTCCTGGTAGCCAGTTACGTGCTGTCATGTTCTGTGATTATTTTTGGAGGTTATTTGCTTGTATCTTGGGTACTATAACATTTACCTGTACAACCTCAGCTCTGAATGGGGGCACAAGAATTTATATAATTGCAAACTGTATTTTAATATTGTGTTTAAGCAACAAATAAAATCTTTAACCTAAACTTTTGTTCAAAATGGCAATTTTTTGCATGCAATTCAGTATTTCAGAGTACCAAAATAACTGTCTGAAAAGTAGAGCCACAGAAAACCACTGGGGCAGCAGGTGCGACTTCAACTGTCTGAAGTCATTCAGAGTAGGTGAAAATATTGAAAACCAAATTACTCAATAGAAGGGATGATTGCATGAGCCAGCAGCTTCCCCTGGAAGTGTAAGCTGAGCTGCTCGCCCCCACAGGGAACAGGGAGATTCATGGTTGTATGAAATGGCACAAGCACTTGGTCTTCAATACACGGTTGCAAAGGCTCTGGTCGGTTTGCAGAGGAGAGTGTGTCTTGCAGCCTGCAGATGTGAATGCAATTACCTCTGCACTGAGTGCTTTAAGAACCCAACGCCTTGCAAACAAAAAGTAGTAGCACAAAACCCATGCAAAAATTTGATGTTGTGTTTGTTCTGAGTTTCTGGGCCTTGCTTCATTTTAGCAAAAAAAAAGCTGCTGCTGCTGTAGATGGCAAAGCAAGGCTCAAAAACTGCATTTTAATTTCATCCTTATCTTTATTTGCACAAATGCAGTCAATGTGTGCAAGATACATGACTGAAGGATTTTAGGGCAGCAATTACCAGGAAATCAGAAGAAAGATAAAACCTTGCATAATAGTACAAATCAGCTTTATGAAGAGACTGATGTCTGTATTTATTGTGTTGGTATCAGCATTCAGTAACTGAACTGTAACTCAATTATATTGAGACAAGTTTGGTTTTCTACAGACAGGGTGCACAAAACAAAATCTCAGCAATAAGAATCTCAATAAAATCAGCTTCACATTCAACCATTTCAAAAAACCCAGCAACCCTACTGGCCAATATTCCCCTCCCATAATTTATGTCCCACAATAAGATGGTTGTGTTTTTCCTTAATACTCCATGCTTTTTTCCTGTGCTCTTGTTTGTCAGAACAAATGACTGACAAGGGCTGACTCCAACAGAGAAAACTGGCATGCTATCTGTATTCACATTTCTAAATAATAATATGCTGCTTCAACTATGCTCTTGAGAAGGATTTTGTTTGTAGAACTACTGAATAAACACAGGCCTCACTAAGTTCAAAGCAGGGTAATTTTGAGTACAAGATATTTTAACTGAGGAAAATAGTAGAAAATGTAATTTTAATGAGTTAAAGAGATACAAGATCAGAGACTGAAACATCAGAAGTCTTAATGTAAAATCAGGAACTTAGCCTTAGTCTTAGCAAGGCAGCATTCATAAATCCACACGCACCACATTAAAAAATTCTGCTTGCAAAATCTTTAGTTTATATTAAACCTTAGGAATGCAACATTTAAAAGTCAGCCTGCCTGCAGTTAAACTTCCTAGGAGGGAATTGGTAAATTCTTGAGACCGTTGAGTACTTGAGTGCCCTGTTCAAAACCAAGTTGCAACAGGCTGCTGGTTTGAGTGCACAACATGTGCGTTTCTTCCAGTGAAATAGAGGATTACAGTAGCTGGATTTCCCCCTCTATTTTGGCCTCTCCTTAGCAGACCAGCCTTTATATAACAAGACAAAACTCTGAGAAATATTTGTTCACTGTGCTGTGATGAGTAATCTAGACCTTGTACTTCTGTTAACAGACTTCCTAGGAAAGCCCTTTGGCTTTGTCATTTAAACAGAAAAACCACCACCGCCCACCACCAATTGTCTGCTTTTTGTCTGATTCATACAGTTGAAATTGCACATCCTAGAAAGTACATTCCATAGTGTGGATAAGGAAGACAGTTATCTCTGCATTTTACGTCACTTTATACCAGAGATAAATTTACTAGATAAATTTACACAGATAAATTAACGCAGAGCTTTTTCAGCTATAGTTTTGCTGTTAAATGTTTGTACGTGACCAAAATGACCAAAATCCGAGTCTTGGATGGATGGTTGTGTTAATTTACTGTGGTTTATTACAGAAATAAGACCAGTCCAGTTCTCTTGCACCTATTGAGATAAAAAGGTACAATTGAAATCAGAAGCATGCTTTTGGTTTGGGTTTCCTGGTTTTTTTTGGTTAAGTTTTTGTTGTTGATGTTTTTTTTTTTTTTTTTTTTTTTTTTTTTTTTTGGGAACCCCCTGTTTTTTTTTTTTTTTTTTGGGTTTGTTTTTTTTTTTTTTTTTTTTTTTTTTTTTTTTTTTTACTGTAGCGAACCGCTAGTTCTGTCATATTATCTAGTGTTACCATCTAAATGCATGCTCTTAGCCATATTCATTAAGAGGCCTACGCAATCCCAGACTACTTAGTAACAATAAAAGACAAAAACCACAGCCAAAATCCTGGAGAGTGCAGCCTGTCTGGAAACATGCTGAACATGCAGGGTAGCTGCTGGCAATTCAGATAATGAACTCATCACAGCAGCCAGAAAATGTATCTTCAGGATAGATGGGAATTCAAACAACCAGCTTGTATAAACACTTATATTTTAAAGTCATTTCATGGAAAATGGTATGCAGTCATTTTGGTCAAGTGCTTTTCTCTCTCAACATGAGAGAAAATGCTCACAGAAGAGGGAAAAAAATGCAGTAAAGAGGTTAAACTGAGGGTTTCAACTTTTTGTACACAGGAAACAGAACAAGAAAAATAAAATTAAAGAAATGATTTCACATAAATATTTATACAACTCCTTGCCAGCTGTATCATCCAAATTTTTATCTGAGAGAGTCAAACAAGCTAAATGATGGAAACAGTATTCATTAGGTAATTTTCTAAAAAAATCCTGCAATAGAACTAATTTGGGGAATTATTTAATTGACATTTCTGTTGTGGCTATCCATATCTCTCACAAGGGCATGTTACTACTGGAAGAAACAACTTACATCAGTACAATTTGTTTCTCAAAGTACTGAATTCACCAACATGGAATGGCTAGGGCATGGCCTTTCTCATGATCTACATTATCTCTTAGTGGCACAACTTATGTAAGAAAAGAAGAGATTGTGGCATGGTGAATTTTGGTGGTGTTCCTTACAGCAGAAGCAATTGTTACCTGATGGAATCCAAATTTTCTAGTGACACTGCTATGTTTGGTATTTCCTTAAACCTCTACACTCTGAAGAGTAAATAAATACACCGCTATACCAGCATGCAATTCATAATCATTTCTGCCCTTCAGTGAGCTCCTCAGGGTAAACTTCAGGTCGTCAAAAGCCAGAAAACAAAAAAAAGAAAATGTGCTCTGTGATTTTTAAATTTCATTCTTTCTTCTTGTGCTTTTGAAGCAGTTTCACTAGGAGATTGGCTTCTGCTTGTTGAAAGCAGCATTGCCAATCCCGTGTGGGGACTGCATAAATTGCCAAGAGAGGAAATGGATGTTTTTGCCTTGAGTCTGTTTTGGAGGGATGGGAGATGTTCACCTCTGGGTGCATCTGGTCCTGATGGACTTTCTAATGGAGTGTGGAGTTCTTCAAAGAGAGGAGATGACCCTCCGTAAAGGGATCAGCAGCAGGGAGAGAGCAGGAAGCAGCCACTCTCCAGTGTGGCTAATTACCACAGGGAGGAAGGGAAAAAGTAAACAATAGTTGGCTTGGAGAGCAGCCATGAGGCACAATGGCTTTGAAACATTAGCTTCTAGTTGCCAATATTTTAGTAGCCCATTAAACAGCACTGTCTGATGGATCTGACCTGAGGGGCACAATTTCTGTCTCCATCGGAGGCTGAGGAATGAAGCTCCACCTCTGAATCCTTTGCCAACCTGTGCTGCCCTCTGAAGGTGAGCACATGCTGGTTCAGCATTGGAAAAGACCACACCTTGCTTTATTCCTCCAAAGGCATTTCAGAGGACCATCAGGATTAAAATACTAATCTAATTAGTACCCCCTTAATTTATGCAACAAGCAAGCTCCAACCAAACTACAACAAAGTGAATTGTGTTAAAAAGAAAAGCATGCAAATGTATATAAATAAAGCTTGTTGAAATACTTGCTTGTCTTTAGAACAGCATTTTGCCCATTCAAAAACTACTTATTTAAGGTAAAAGAACATAGAAATGTTTAAAGAATATGAGTGAAACCCTCTAACAGTACACAATGATGCAAAAAGGTTCAATTTCTGAAACATTTCAGTTACACCAGGATCTTTGGCTTAACCCCTACATCACGCAGAACTTCATATAATGGGAGTCTCACAACAAAGTTAATCTCCAATACAAATCACAAAGTTTTGGATGCTGTATATCCAAAACTTTTGATCAAGGCCAAGGATCAGCAATCTGTCCTGAGAATGAAGAGCACTAGCCAGAATGAAGTTGACTTGTGGACTTGGCACTGCATTCTCAGCCTGCAGAGCTCCTGGCTTGTGAACGTTGTGCTGAATGAACTCCAGATGTGCAGCTGTGGCAACCCCTCTGATCTAAGCCCATGCAGCACCAATACCTCTGCTGTCAAGAAATACCCACCTGCAACTGGTGTGCTCCAGACAGCTGCCCCACAGGTGGCTGGGTCCTATCACAGCTGGAAAGAGGTGCAAAGAGCTTGGTATCACTCCAGTGGCCATTTTCATGACTATTCTGCTTACAAAATGAATTAAACTTGCTCTGGAAAGTAGAATAATAAAATTAAAGGGATATCAAACCTTCAAAACCACACTGCTGTCACAGGAGTATTTAAACAAATGCACAGACACAATTTGTAACAGCTTTATTGCTTCAATAACTGTCATACAAAATTGGTCTCTGAAACATCATAAGAGCAAAAATTAGTCTGTAATTATATTTTGTACAGTATTTCAGCAGAGGGGGTACAATTTACTATTTTTCTGGAAAATGGTGTTCTCAAAATCTGAAATAGACACCGATTTTAAAAAGCAGCACAGTAATATTTCTTGTCTCACAGCAAGAGCTAGAAACACAGTCCTCTTATTTTTTCTTCATTTCATTTAAACCAGTGACAGCACTATATGGATAATGCTTATTTTTGCATTTCTACATTGCCCAACTGCAATTCTTTACAAAATACCTTCTGAACAA